ACACACACACACACTCCTGATGAGTCAGTGAAAGTCCGACGAAAGAGTCTGCCACAGTCATGCTGTTTTTGTGGAGTTTTGTATATGAATAAACACGCACACAACACACGACACACATATATAACACACACATGGAGGCAAACACATGAATGAACATGCGTGGTGAAGCCTTCGCTCTATCGTATGGTCGCTTAATGTATGAATATGTGCTTTTTTTCTTTCTCCACCTTTCCTCTAAACCCAATCATGGTTGATAAAGAGAGTGGAGCAGGAAGGATCAGCTTCCGAGTCAGTGAGACCCTATTACAAGGCAGTGGTTATGTTACTTGAATGCAGTTCATAGCTTCTCCAGTGCTCATTGACGTAATGCAGCGAAGCCCAATAAGGCTCCTGGTTGCTTCCTTGCGATGCCCTCTTGCTGAGCTAAGGTAGCTTCTCCCCTCATGAGCAGGTGAGGGTGGGTGGGCTATTGTGGATCAGTACCTCAGTTTCTAGCAGTTGTCCTCTGTCTCCCTTGTTGTCCACTGTGTGTCCAACCAAATCCCAAGGTCTCGGATGACTAGTTAGTTGGGATATGTACCCTAACAACTGTAAGCGGAGGCGGGCAAGTTAGTGGTAATGTGTGACAGAGATTATTGAAATGAATGTTGTCGGAGTTGTCCGCCTTTTCTCACCTGCAATTTCTGCTTTGCCGATTCTGCCGCTCCTCTTTACCTGCGCGCTTTGTAGCTTTTTTTTTTTCCCTCTCCTTAGCACCGTACGTGCAACTTTCATCTCCTTAGCACCGGAGAAAGTTCTGATTTCCAATATGTACTACAATGTCCACAACCCCGTTCGGAGTCGGTCACTAAGAGGTGGGGGGGATCCCGACTCCTGACGAAAGAAAGGCGGCTCAAAACAGTCTGCGTAATGACTCGAAAGAACGATGTGATGGTAGTCGTCCGGGACATCCGTTCAGATTGGAACCATGCACAGAAGGGTAGCATGGCCCCTGCGCAAGGATGACGTTCATAAATCGAGAAAGGGTTAAAGAACAAAGGAAAAAAGAATGATGTGATTGTAGGCTATTTAACAGGTCCAGTGCGAAAAGATCGTTGTCCAAAATTCCAACTTGTTTGTGTACTTACTTCTCACCCTGCAGTCGGCCTCTCTTCTTTAGCATTTATTGCCGTTTGTGATCGTACCTCTTCCAGTTTGTGTAGAGGCATAAGAGGCGAAGCGTATGAGATGTCTCTGCGGCGCCGTTCTATCCCCATCATTCTGCGTGCCCACTCTGGGATATATTCTTTATCAACTCCAAGTCTGCATCCTGTGGGCAGACTCAGACCGTTTAGACACTGCAGGCTCAGTGTGGACTCAGAAGTCTTTGGGCAGACTCAGACCACAGTCTGTAGTGTGTGTCTATATTTTGAGTCCACACGGAGTCGTTGGGCAGACTCAGACTGTAGACACACACTACAGACTCCGTGTGGACTCAAAATATAGACACACTACAGACTCTGTGTGGACTCAAAACTCTGCAGGCTTTGTGCAGACTCAGACTGTATACTAGTGTATAGACACACAGTGCAGACTCTGTCTCTGTGTGGACTCAAGACTCTGCAGACTTCGGGCAGACTCAGACCGTATAGACACACACTACAGACTCTCTGTGGACTCAAAACGCAGCAGGCTTTGTGCGGATGCAGCCTGTATAGACACACACTGCAGGCTCTGTGTGGACTCTAAACTCTGCTGGCTTTGCGCAGACGCAGAGTCGCAGACGGCACAAATACACACTGCAGGCTCTGTGTGGACTCAAAACTCGGCAGGCTTTGTGCAGACTCAGACTGTATAGATACTCACTGCTCACTTCGTGTGGACTCCAACTCTTCATGGTTTATGCCGAGGCAGACTGTACAGACCCTCCAGCCTCTGTGTAAACTCAAAACCTCCGCAGACTTGTTGCAAGCGTAGACGTGTCAGTCAGGCAAACTATGATTCTTTGGCCCTCTGCACACACTCACACTTGTGTGTTAGACTCAGGCTCTCAAGGCTTGGCATGCTCGACGGATTCTCTGCCAACCTGAACTCGGAAACCTCTGCGGCGAGGCAAGCGCTGGCCACTCTCTATGGATGGCCGGCAAGCGGCCACTCTCTATGGATGGCCGGCAAGCGCTGGCCACTCTCTATGGATGGCCACTTTTCTGTTGTGTGGTCGGGGACTTTTTTCAGAGCGGCCACATTTTTTTGCCGTTTCACAGGGCCGAACTCCGAAACTGCTGTGGCGACTGGAACTCTGCCCACTCTGCAGACGATGTGTGCACAGGGACTTTTAGTGGGATGGTCACTTCATCCTTTTAAGATTCTCCGCCGACCCAGGCTCCGAAACGTTGTGGCGACTCAAGCTCTGCCTGCTCGGCAGGCGCTATGCAAGAGTGGGACTTAATAGGCCAGTGGCATGATGGTTTTCAGATTCCTGCCACTCTCGAACTTCTGTGTCAAGTCAATTTCAGCCTGCTCTGCAGATGGCGAGACGCTGTGCAGACTGGGACAGTTACGCCACCGCTTAAAGATTCTCCGCCTCGGCGTACTCTGCAGATGCCACAGGCCAAATGGGCATGGCGGCTCCGGTCCATATTATTCAAGTGGAAACGCTGTGGCTCTTATCTTTCACGACGGCCGATGTATGGGCGGAGTAGATTATATTGTATAAGAAATATCCTGATGAGTCGGTGAAACTCCGACGAAACAGTTTGTCACAGCCCCTCGTTTGTTGTCCTCTTCTCTCTCTCTGCCTACGGTTTACCGGGCAGTTCTGTTTGTGACGATGTA